GGTCAGACTTCGAAACTCCGAGACGGCTTTGCATACGCGCTCGTCAAATCATCTAGGCGCAGAGGCTTGAGGTTTCAAGTCGATCGTGATACAAGTCAGGATATGGATGTGCTGTCGCGGTGGCACAATCTTACTTACATGCAGGGCTGAGCGTCCCAAACGACTCAAGCCAGTCAGTATGCTTTCTTACCGGTGAATGTCATTCCAAAGCCGCCATAGGTATGCTCTGCATTTCACCAGTAGGTGGTTTGGGAGTCAACATACATGGTGGAGGCTGCCATCACTCGCATTGCGATTGGACTTGTTCCCCGCTGACGTCCAGTTCAACCTTCTGTTGTCCGACTTTGAGGCTGCATAGTGCTACCTACTTAAATCGCTTTGATGGCCCTGTGTCAGGAGAACAAGCCAGTTACCGACTACGATAACTGACCGGTACTACAAGTCTCCACGCGTTGTGCGCTGTTTCGTCGCAAATCTCTGCTACGCCTTCCGCACTGCCTCAAGGCTGTGTCGCACCACATCTGATGATGTCATTGGAACATCCCACCAGCAGCATGTCGGTATGTTCTAGCATGTACGAACGAACTTATTCCACTTCGTTGGTTTTCCTGTCTCAGGTGAAAATCTACGGTTACAAGACGAAGCCTACTGATACCGTATTGTAACAGCTTTCCGATGACGACATGGGCCGAAACCAGGAATGTGGACTGTACGATGCAATTGTCGACCGTTTCACGTACAGCGAGTTCTCCCAGAAGGATTTCCTCCCTCAGGACGACTTCGAATCGCTAATCACCGAACATACTATCAAAGAAGAGCTAGACAAAGCTGCTTTCGGAGAATATGATTCGTCACTTGTCAAGTACATTACGAAACACGCGCGAAAAACGTTTGCTACCTTAGTCTATGGAGACGCGGTCCGCAGGGCTATCAACCTAGAAAGATTCGAATTCGGCGACAGATACCTTCCCATCGCTCTCGAAGGGCCACGTCTCATCTCTCTCAACGGCTTTGCGCGAGATTCTTCCGCGTGGAAGTGGTTTAACAAATGGAGGACACAGGAGAAACATTTCTTCTGTAAAGAGCAATGGGTGTTTCTACCCCAAATCTTCAGGAACGATAGCACGATGGAGAACTTACACCGAGACTGCCGATTGCCCTTTATCGCATGCGAATCTCAAGGTGAAGGGGGCAGTTTCAGCTTGTTACACAAGGCTACCATACACCATGCTCATCAAACAGTCAGTTCGGTCAGTACATTCATCTCAGCATATCAACGATTTGCTGACAGCAATAGGGCAATCTCGTGATTGCCATCAAGGAACTGCGAAACAAGGAAGCCGGTGCCGATCAAAGTGAACTCGATGCGCTAGACCTGGCGAGGCAATTGAAGCATCCACATATCGTGAGATTCGTCGGCGGCTTCAGGCAGAACTTCACGAGCCACCTGCTGTTCCAGTGGGCGGACGGAGGCAACTTGCGGTCGTACTGGAACAACGAGGAGAACTGGTCTCGGGATGCAGACCTCATAAGCTGGAGTATTGAACAGATACAAGGACTCGTTGCAGCACTCGATCAGTGGCACAACAATCCGTCTAGGCTTGCTCTGAACGGTCGACATGGAGATCTCAAACCGGAGAATATTCTTCGATCTTCGGGACCGCACCGTGGAATATTTCAGATCGCAGATCTGGGTCTGGCCAAGATACACTCATTGCCAACACATGCAAGAAATAAGCCTTCAGCATCTCCAGGTGGAACACTCAGATATAGGCCTCCGGAGGTTGGCCGAAAGATCTCAAGGTCTTACGACATGTGGGGCATGGGCTGCATCATTCTGGAGTGGATAATCTGGTTAGTCTACGGCATTCGCGAACTTGACGAATTCTGTCAGCAGGCATTCCCCGAGGAGTTCGACGCTTTCTGGTTGCGCGACAGCGAAAATCGTACCACTAATCCAGTAGTGGTTTCGTGGATGAAACACATGACCGACACATGTCTAGCAGACGGAGATCAATGCTACAGTGTTGCTCTACGAAAGCTTTTGATCTTCGTAAGAGACAGGCTACTGGTGCCAGATTCAACAGAGCAAGATACAAGCGACATCTACCACCCATCCGCTGACAACGAGGAAGTACCCATTTACATTACGCCTGCATCAGATGTCGGATACACGTCTCCTATTCCAGGGAGAGCAAAGGGCAAAGATGCATGCAGGGAACTTGCAAGGATCAGCTCGACAACTCACGGTATTCCCTACTACATGTACAACCCGAGGGTCAACATGAGCGGACCGAACGGGCGAGGACCAGCGATACCAAGCAAGTTACTGATGCCTTTGTCGACATCCAACTTTCGCCTAGAGGTGAATGGTCCCCCCGGCAATCGATGAGCAACTTTCTGATGTCAAGTCATCAGCAGAAATCTCGCGATCTGGTACGTCTGTATTACCAGCGACGACAAAACGGCGGAATTGCCAACACGAAAAATCCCTACGCAATACCCGGTGCATTGGATATATGGACAAAACAATTCGATAATCTTTTTGCAAAGACCGTTTTCGGCACCTTAGACAGCGACGAATTCAAAAGGCTCGCACCCATGTACCCGATTTTGACTCCTTTATGTCAGAATTGTTCGCACACTGAAACGGGCATCTTCTCAGGAGGATCGTTCGTAGTATCATACGAAAGAGCACAAGCTTCTCGTGCAATGTGTTCTCTGTGCGCCGTCATCTACATGGCGATGAACCACACGACTGGAGAGAACAGGTACAAAATGGTGCTAAGGGAGGGGTCTTCGTTGACCTTGGGAAGGGGAGAGCCTCCATTACTCTCGTTAGTAATAGGTCCAAGTCCCGGTAAGTTGTGGGTTTTATTGCTGCGAATTACTACTGATACTGAAAACAGGCCTCAATCGGTTTCCGGATACTTACCAGAGAGGCTTGCCAGTTTTACCGGGCCCTGGAAGTTCTACCCAGGTCAAATTGCTGAAGAGGTGGATCAAATGGTGTGATCTCTGTCACGAATGCAAACCGACAAGAGTAACTATGCCTCACAGACTGGTCGAGTTGTATCCAAGAGGTAATCAAGATGATCGAGGTCGCTGGGATTCAGATATATTGCGTCTAGATTGCGACAATATGAGGAAAGACGACAAATACGTGGCTTTAACACACCGTTGGGGTGCCCCGTCATTACATGGAAGTTTCCAATTTCTAAGTCGTAGCAAGCTCGAAGGTTGGCAAAGTCATCTTGATCTCAAGATGCTACCGCGGACTTTTCAAGACGCCGTAAAGATTACAAGAAGTCTCGGAATTCGATATCTATGGGTAGACGCGCTTTGTATCATTCAAGACGATGAGGAGGATCTGCGAGCGGAGATTAGGAAGATGGACGATGTCTTCAGATGTGCCTACGTTACACTTTCGGCGACTTGTGCAAACGGGAGCGATGATGGCTTTTTGAAAGCGGATCGCAAAGTAAGACTTCACTGCCCCCTCTCCTATGCCAACCATCCGGGTAGCTTAGACATGATCTATCTCTGCGAACCGATCGATGATTTCGAACGCGATGTAGAGCAGTCGGCGTTGAGTAGAAGAGGATGGGTATTTCAAGAACGCGCGTTATCGCGGCGTATCATTCATTTCACAGAGGTTCAAGTCTATTGGGAGTGTGGAACAGGAATCAGGTGCGAAACGCTGACAACGCTATACAAGTAAGTGAAACCAACACCCTTCTACAATGGGAAAGAAGCTCATCGTTACGCTAGCCACAAGACGTCTTTCCTGTCCGATCCTCAATTCCCCGATGCTATGTTGAAGCGATACAAAGGAATGCGTATCGCTTTCTTCGAAGAGATATACGAGAAATATTCCCGACTTGACTTTACCCATTACACAGATAGGTCGTTAGGTATGGCCGGGATCGAATCGCGATTTGCGAAATTGTTCGGAAAGGCACAGCACGGCGTTCTTGACCATCCAAAGGAGCGCAGCTACTTACGCCGCACACTTCTCTGGCGACGTGCGGATCTAAATAGAGACATGATCAAGATCGACTATCCAAAGAATAGGCGGGTGCTCTCATGGTCGTGGATGGCAGTGACGGGAGCTATATGCTTCATGGATATTCCATTCGGCACTGTGGACTGGAAGCCGGACCTCGATTCACCATTCAACAACTGTGAACACTTCGGTGATAGCCCGAGAGCTCTGCATGGCGACGCCAGAGACTTCTACAAGCAGTACGATGATCGTGTATTCTTCGATCGTGGCCCACAATCTGAATGGATTCCATCCATTGAACTGAAATGTGTCGTTCTGGGAATGCAGGATATATCAAACGACCGTCTGTTGACCCATTATGGCTTACTTGTTACCGCTGCAGAAAAGGGCAGTGACGTGTACGAGCGAGTAGGAGTCGCTGCCTTTGAGCGAGACCGGTCATGGATGGACCAAGAACATATTCAGCGAATACGTGTTATATAATTCCGCTCTCGCTCAACGCGGTTCTCTTTCGTCGATCTTGGCTATAGGGAGAACCTTGTTTCCTTCCTTTTGCGATGGGATTGTGAAGCCTAGAGGACGAAACGATCTGCCTACGGGTTTGGAATGATGTTGCTTTCTAAATATTGGGTATGATGAAATATTGCCTTGATGCACGCCTGCCTCTTCAACCTGATATCTCATCAACTTTAATATGCAGACTAACTTAGATAGCAGCGCGTTCCATAAGCTTTTTCCTTGCCTGAATAGCACTTACCATCCCACAACCAATTTACCTGCGTCAAAGACATGTCTCAGGTCTACTGCTATCTAAATGAGCCATGCGTTTCAGTATGACCGCCATGTTCTTTGACAGATGTTTACGAAGATAATCGATCGGCAAAAATTCGAAATTCCACCCTTTGTTCCTTCTTTGGCTTTCCTTCACATAAGTACGATCATCCTCGCATCATATCACTCATTCCCGTTTGTCGTCGAGCAGTAACAGTCAGCCATGCCGCCCCAGAGGACAGTAAAGACAACTTACAGGCAGCCAGGACAGTCTACCCGCTATTCAGCGACATACGACCCATCACAGGAATACATCGATGATGAAGACTCCGAGATAGGCCAGTTGATCAAAGCCGATCCTTATTGGCGCTACGTATTGAAAACTGGGAGGTATGCCGGGCGCACATTGCAGCAGCTAGATAGCGATAAAAGCGACGACAATTGCGTCAGTTACTTAAGATGGATGTTGACCGCCGAGAAAGCCTGCAAGGGCGTTGACGACGACCACATCGTGCGAAGGGGCTTAATTCAGTGGAACAATCAAGCTGGATATAGCGCCACGATTCCTCCATCGGACGATGTTCCCCCCTACGCCACGGGGAAGAATGCGCCTTCGTTGTTAAAGAAGCTGGTCGTCTCAGTCCCGTCGCCCGAGCGCTTCAAAACTGCTGGAGGAAAACCTATCTGGATCTGTGGATCCGACATCATCGGTCTCTTCCATATGCAGCGACACCAATTGAACCGTTTCGGCGTGAAAGACATTCAAGAATACCGCGACTCTGATAAACGGTTCTGGAAATTGAGGTACTCGCTTGAACAAGTGTGGGAGGTCGCGAAGCGTACGCCTAAATGCCCGCTCGATCAAACGCCTGATGAGGCTGTCGATCGGTACCTCCTTAAGGTCCAGAAATGCGGAAATGGTGGAATTGGATCTCTTCGTATCGTCTGCGAGCACAAAGACTGTCAAGAGATGCGAACTGGTGGGCCCAGCGAGGCGGGGCAGAAGTTTTGGGTGGATATGTATAAGGATATGTTTTAGAGCTATGAATTACAACAAGATTATGCTAAAGAAACTGAGAGCCTCCGATAAGATGTTTCTTTAGGAAGCATGAGCTGCAACACTGTAGATTTAAAATCTAAAGGCATCCTTTAAGTCTCGGCATCTCGTTCATCGCACATATGGAGCCTGACCGAGGCCATTGTTTCTTTCCGTATTGTTTATCTTGTCTTCTTTGACATGATGCATGAACCCTCCCTGGTTGTCGCGTACTAGCCGAGCTGGGACTAAGACAGAAACACCGGAACTTTTCACGTAGCCTGACCAGCCCTTTGTAACCTCCTTTTGCAAATCTTACGCTCTTGATCATCGGAATGCTCGTGATAATCGCAGCCCTTCAAATCCGCATCCCACCCAATCTCGGTTGCTTCCGCGGCCCTTGAAGAATATCGCGCGATCATGCGAATCAGTAGAGTAGGTGGCAGGTCCCTTCCGATCAATTCAGTTATTGCAGCCTCCACATCATCTGCGCCATTTCCTGTCACATCCCAGTGTCGACAGTGGAAATCCAAGAATAGTTTCAGTATGCTATGATCCGATGGTAAGTTGTCGTAAGCGTATTTCGTTGCGGTGAAACAAGTCGGCTCGCGAGGGCCACCGTCTTCGTCATAAAGCAATGTTTCCACTATGCAATTGTGAATAGCTTTGCGAAAGACAGGCACTAGAAATCTGTCACCGAACACTAGTGCCTTCGTATAAGCGGTCATCGGATCGTCGTCATCTTTGGGGTCTGGGGAACTCTCTGACATTTTCAGCGTGGCGTCGTTGTCTGGAATCTGTTGTGTATACAGCCAGTGGACAAAGATGTCTACAGCAATAGTATCGACATCTTCCAAAGTGACGACTTTGTCCTCGGTCTCCCTCCATGGGCCGTTTAGGGCATTGTTGAAGTATTCCGAATGGTGTGTGAGGAGGGCTTTGTGCAAGTGGTAGCGCTGTTTCTGTGGGCCAATCTCGAGGACAACGAACCCGTCCTTCGTAGCCGTACTGCGAGTCGTTAGTGGATCTCTACAGTATGCGTGTGTCAATCATAAGCTTACCTGATGGGTAGCCGGGTCTTGTATTTTAGAGGTTTCGTCTGCGTGGTGAGGTTCGTGTCGGTGGAAGCCATGTTTGATCTGGTTGGCAAGAGGAATATTGTCGCGGCTATTATGGCGCTGTTGATTCAGTATGTATGTAGAGTGAGTAAGGTTAGAAGCAGGAAGGCGCGGCATTTAGAAGGCCACAATAGGAAAGTACGCTAGCGCGCTCACGGCAAGGTGAAGGCGAGAGGGCTCAAATGAGCAAATATACGCCTGTCAAGTCAAATGTGACAGAGAACGGTTGCAGTTAGTTTTCAATACCCAGCAAACTCAAAGCCCCTTCACTAGCTCGCTACTTGAACTCAGAGCTTACAGATCATATACAGCACCTTCCCCGTCATACCCTTCTGGATGTCGTCTACTACAACGCTTCCGCCCGGAACACTACCGCCCGCCACTTCCCTCGCAAGGGATAATGCAGGATTCTCCAGAAACTTATACGTAGTGCACTGCGACATTCTGAGCCTATCAATATATGTCTTGTCTACTAGGCAAACAAAACTTACATGGTAAAGAGGCATACTGCTGGCCACTGAACAGTTACCTTACGTACGGTTGCACCACTATATACGTTAGGAGTTTCTCAGAGTAGCTGGTAGTCGCTGTTCGCTGGTAGTCGTGACTTACAGAGTTGTGGTGAGTAGCCGACACTCATGGGGAAGCAATGCGACGTCTTCGCACTTATCGTCCGTTGAGCAGATCTGAGCGTGGAGCATTGAAGGCGAAGGGTTTGCTGGAGAGGTGGGGGATGAGGATGGTGTGGGCACAACAGGCACTGCTGAGCTGGAAGGTGCAGCCGGGACAGTATGCGTGGTCGCCACTGGGACTCCCGGTGTCGCAATGTTACTTGATGTTGTGAATGTGGAGGCAAGCACAAATGAAGGTAAGGTTGGAGATATATGGCTTGTTGGCGCAGGAGGAAGGAGCGGCTGACCCACCGGTTTCGAGGAAGGAGCAGCCGGCGGTACGACTGGTGTAGTCGCGCTGGGAGGCAGCAATATGGTCATCCATGCAGATTCCGGAGGTAGGCTTCTGGCCGTGATAAAAGGGTGTGCGCTTGTGCTGAGCGCCAGTGATACTGTAAAGAGAGTGAGTGTACATGAAGTGCATACTTGCGGATTGCTGTGGTGATATCACGTAGTGGTGGTAGCCGGATTATATAGAACATGTTTGCACGAGTATTGGAATGATGGCGACGTGTACACAGGCTATGTACGCCAAAACAAAAGTAGAGGCAGACATATCTATTTGAGAATAGTGACCGAACAGGGCCGATGCCAACGTTTAATACCAAACCTCATTCTAGCCGCGTCGTACCTGCGTTGTAGAACCAGCACATTGAACAAACAACACCCAAATCCCGTTCCATCAATACTGAAAGCGGATCCCTAACCGAAGGTTGAGAACAGCACATGCTGCCTTGCCGCATGAAGAGCTCGGACATCATCACCACTCACAGTCCACCGTACTGGGCTCGCAATCCCATGTGTGCACCATACTCCAATCCTCCTCATCTTCATCCAGAGTATCCTTCATATACGAGTTCCATGGAGTGTTATTCTTGATAGCACTCCCACTCCAGTGTTCGTCGTCCGCGTCCCATGAGTCCAGACTCTCATCGTCGCTCTGAGATAGAGTGTCGTCATCAGTGTGCTGTTCTTCCAAGATCTCTAGGTACTCGATGACCTCGTTCTCCTCCTGACCGTTGGCCACAGACCAGTTGTCCTCATCCCACTCTTTGAGTACCTCGGTCGCAGCGTTGGTCATCTCCCACATCTGCTTGTAAGGCATGCCACTAGGGTCCGTGGGCGCGTGGATGAACCACTCTGGCATTTCTTCCTCGCTATCTTCGTCGGGTTCGTATACTGTGGCGTCGTCCTCGCTGTCTCCGTCGAGAGTCGACAGGCGGTATCCTTCTGGTTCGTACTCCTCGTATTCCTCGTACTCCTCCTCTTCATCTGTGATGCTCTCGCTCATTTCACTAGCCACCTCAGTCATCTCGCCCGGGATGAAGTTCCACTCGCGTTCTTCAGCCTCTCGGTCTAAGGCCTCGATCTCCTCCATGTAATATGCGACGCGCTCAACCATAATCTCGAGATCTACGGCAAGGCACCCATTCTCCGCCCTGCATTCTGCAAGCTCGCCCTCTAATTCGTCGACGCGAGATTGCATGGCACGAATAGTGCCGGCGTTGTTCTTGGCCCAAGATTCGTTCGCGATGCGTAACTGTCTGTTCTCTTCTTCGAGAGCTTTCTTCACGCGCCAGGATTCGTCACACCTCGATATCCATCCTAGATGCAAGCTTCGAATTTGGGATTTCAAGGCATTGCAGTCCCTGGTCAGCTTCTCGATCTGTGTAGATACACGTTTGGCGCTTTCTTCGTTTGACATGATCGTTGCGTGTTGTTCGTCAATCTTATCTTGCGCCTCCTGGCTAAACTTGTTTGCACGCTCCCACTCCTTCTTGGTGTTGCGCAGAGAATGTGTCATGGCCTGGAGATGTATGGTAACACGTTTGGCGCTTTCTTCGTTGAACATGATCGTCGCGTGTTGTTCGTCAATCTTATCTTGCGCCTCCTGGCTAAACTTGTTTGCACGCTCCAATTCCTTCATGGTGTTGTGCAGAGAAAGTGTCATGGACTGGAGCTCTTTGGCTTTGAACTGAATCTGGCTCTGTAGTTCATAGCACTCATCTTCCTTGGAGGCATTCTTGCATTTAGACTCCTCGAGCGCCTGGGTGAGGTACATCGTCATGCCTTCTGCACGGTCGCGTTCGCGGCGCGCTTGGGACAGCTCCCTACCGAGTCCATCACGGAATTCGAGGTGGGCGACGACTTCCTTTTCGCTCTGTTTGAGCGCAATTTCGGTGTTGGCGAGAATGGATTTGGTATCGGCGAGGCAGAGGTCAGTACTAGTAGGCTTGGTTTGGGAGGCGTGGAGCTCGTCTTTGACTTCAGACAGCTCGGCTTGAGTGGCCTTGAGTACTTCCTCTTGAATTTTCGCTCGACAGATCGCTTCGTTGAGCTTCTCGTCGTAGTGGACCAGGCCGATAAGAGCAGCGAGGAGAACTATTCCGGCTGCCATGGACCAGGCCAAAGAGACCATTGTGATCGCCAGATGGAAGTGTAAGATACACTCTCTGTTATGCTGTAAGTGGTTGTGGTAATTTGTGTTCGTCGTGAACATCAGGTATCTTGGAGAGAAAGGTTGTGAAGTAAATCAGCAGTGGTGCAGCGTACTACATAGTTTTATACTTGAGTGGGAATTTCCTCGCCCAGATGTGCGTACTTTGGTTTCCATGGTTCAGATGATCATAAGGCTGCTGCGGACATATATCGTGGGTGCGCACTCACCTCAGTCCGTGGGACGTAGCTTGAGCACTCCCATCGTAATCCTGTGACAGTTATAGGCAAACCATGGCATCAATAGTGGAGACCCAAATGGAAAGTGGATTTTAGAAATAGCCAATTTGGTCCACGTGTAGTGAACATCAAAACGGCCGTTGGAACATGGTAGAATAAGATACTCGTAGGCTTAAGCATATGCATTGACTGGTACCATGTACCCGCGCAGCACGACACTGGATGCTGGGTCGCAGAATCAACGAGTGCTCACTCTTGATGATCTCGTTTAGCGTATGACCAATACTGGAGCCATGGTAATCGCTTTTGAAATTTTGATATGTACAAGAAGATGCTGGTTGACCCAGTGAATCTTTATCGGTGTAGTTCCTATCAATGTAAATCGTTTGGAAATGCGACTGGAGTGGTAGGGCCGTGTGCCGCAACTGTTGTACCAGGATTTCGTCCTGCGACTACTGAGCCAGTCGGGTGCGTGACAATGCAACAACAAAATTGCCGACGCGAGCTGACTCCAAATCGCTCAGGTTAAATGCATGGC